GTTGGAGTTGATCAAAGCATGGAATAAGTCAAGGTGGGAGACGTGGTCCGAGTTTGTAGGAATATGTTAGTGGAATAAGTTGTGAAAGCCGAGTCTTATGCTCGTGCTTGGTTTTAGGAGTTTATTGTTTATTTGCTTCCATGTAATCAAGTTTTTCATTCAATGATCAATAAAAAGGGCTTTGATCGAATTCTCTGTTTTATCCATTTTTAAGAGGAAACACCTCAAGATAATCGAGACCATTGTTGAATGGATTCCACTTAGAAAAGGCGTCCCAGTCACTAGCACATCCTCGGAAACCTTGAGAAGAATGGAAGGCAAAGAAGAGGCAAATACGAATCAAATCATCTATATAAGAGAATCATCAGATTCACCGGAAGAAAGAAAGAAAGTGAGGTGTTCAGTACTGTACTGCAGGGAAGTTGGTGAGCTCGACGGTAGACTCGAAGTCGGCGGCAGAAAGAGCACTCTCGAAGGTTTTAATCGTCGAAAATTCGCATCCCGTCGACATCACCGGCGCTGGAGATTTGTCAAAAACGCTAAAGTCATATCCTTTTCAAAAATAACAAATTAATGAAAAGAAAATAAATGGACCTCTAAAGCAACTGAAAGAAAATAAATAGTATATTTTGGCCCATTAGACAAACCAATGAGCATGAATATTGATCAGTCAAATAGAGCAACTATGGCGAATTCGCATGAATTGTGACCGTTGAGAAATACTTTACATTAACTTTCAAATTTCAAAACTTAGAATCACCATGTATAAATATCACATTAAGTAGATAACAACAAAAATTAAACCATATTTCTCTTTCTTTCAGTTTTAAGGAAATTGTTTATAACAAACAATATACTAAAATTGTAACTTGTACCGTTATTGTAAATAGTGAGTGATCAATAGACCTGTTTTAATGGGGACCGAATTCCAGTTACCAAGACCGTTTTTTTTCAATGTAAGAAGTCAAAATGGCATCTTCCGCTTTTGTCCATTTGCCTTTCTTCATTTCATAACAAGGAGGTTCGTTGATTTCCATATTGTTTGAGTTTAAGAAAACTCTTCGTGCATGGGGTTTTCTGAAAAAACTTTTGGAACAAACAAAGCAAAGAATGTCCAAATGACTTTTGATTCGTTTAAAATAGTGGAGAGATATGTTCGTAATCATATATATAATCAGAGAGTTTTTTCTATATATATCTAAAGTGTCCACATAGGCAAAACTATTTTTAAAAACATTTATGTTTAAAAAAATCATTTAATATACACTAAATCATATTTATTTATTTT